AGAATGTTTAAATCAAGGGTTCCCCAACTTTGTTGAACTATTGGGCATTTTTGGAATTCTGGGAACAGAGATTGGGTGCCACAACATCATGACTGCTATAAGGGTCCAGTCACAAAATGTTGGGAGATTCCATAGTGGAGGCAGCTGTTTCCAAACTGGTGCTCCCTGCGGACACAGAGAGAATGCCTCAGGACCTCTCTGTAGCATCTCCTACTCCATTGAACTGGGGGAAAGTCAGGAATGGTTCTTAGCTTTAAGGGAAGGGACGGTTTGGGGAAGAAGCAGCTAGACACCAGGAAACATATCAGCAGGCACCATGATTCTGACAGCCATCATGTTGGGGACCACTGGTTTAAATTATCCAACCATGTAAGTGAAACCCAAACACATAGGATTGTTCCATTGAATGGCTCCTCTTGGCATAGTTAAAAATGCACATGATCAGGTGTTGCCCACATGGTTAGGTCATTTAAATATTCTTCCAGCTGCAAGGGAGCTGGTTACAGGTAAATGGTTCCCATGCAAGCAGGAAAAAAACCCTCTAAATGCAACCTGTAACCTGACAACCCTAGCCTTTAATTATTTTCCTATCTTGTCACTGCTGTTGATATTAAAGACATTTAGCTTTGAGGAAACTGGTTTCAGATTTGTGTCTTCCTCTTGCTTTTTAAAAAGAAGCATACAAGGTCAAGAGGCAAATATAACAACAATTTCTTTGCCCTAGACAAGCGGTAACTTTTGTTTCTGTCATTTGGTGCGTAGCAAACTACAGGCTGCTTTGTAGGAGAAAGAGCAATACCTAAAATAAATAAATAAATAAATATACAAGGTCAAGAGGCAAATATAACAATTTCTTTGCCCTAGACAACCAGTAACTTTTGTTTCTGTCATTTGGTGCGTAGCAAACTACAGGCTGCTTTGTAGGAGAAAGAGCATATGTGAAGGTGAAACTGAGCAAAAATTTTCTTTAAAAAAATGAAACAACAACAACAAAATTAACCAAGCTGCCTAGCAAACAATTTCCATCATATGACAAGGAAAGAGGGAAAGAAACACTAATGGCTTTTTGTCTGGTTTTAAAACAAAACCAGTGTTTGAAGATAATCTAGTTCATCTGAAAATAAGGGACTGACCAAATATTGTAGGGCATATGGGAACAAAAAAGGGATTAAGATTAGACAGAAGTTCATTACAGAATAATGATAGCAAAGCAGGAGAGGAGAGAATTAAATACAAAGGGCTAAAATGTCATTGTTCCTGTGGACTGGTATCATTGCCAACAATGTTTAAAGCATGTAAAAATAAGGGGTCAGAACTGCACAACACAAGAACTTTGAATCAGAGCTTCAGTGGAAGTTTTGTGCCTCCCAGACTCCACTCTGTTCTGTTTTCTCCTCCTTAAAGTATTCTGTGGAGCCATTTGTGAAATCGTTATATATAGCAGTAGAAAAGAGCAAGAGTCCACTAGTACCTTAAAGACTAACAAAATTTGTGGTAGGGTATGAGCTTTTGTGAGTCACTGCTCACTTCTTCATGTGACTTATATAATTACATATAAACTTTGCAACAGAGCCAGTAGCCAGTTCTGTGGGGTGCTTTATGGAGTGGAAGGCAGCCACCATTTCTGCCCAGTGCTCTGGTGTCAAAGAGAAGAGAGCTTGCAGCAGAAGACTCAAAATTCCCACTGAGTGTCTGATTCAAAGTTCTTACGTCATCATTACCCAACAAACACAAGGATTTTGTACTATCACCTCACCGTGTAATATAGTGTCATTATGCTGTGGGTTTCCCCTGCGCTACCCTATTGACTGCTGCTGGCAGGATTGGCAGCATCACCACATGTTATGAGTTACACTTGGGTGCAAGATGGGGTTTGTGGTCATGGAGATATGGACATAGGCCATTGCACTGTGATATCTAGTGGCATCTGCACTTCAGCCTGGCTACTTCTTTGCTCATGCAGGAACTGACAGCATCAAACTTTAAACCAATTAAGTGTGAGAACAGTGATGTAATGGTTTGTAGCCAAAACTAGGCAAATATATTTTGTTTGGTCCCTGGGCTATTCCATTCAGTGTCAGTGTTTAGGTTATACCAAAACCAACTCACAGCTAAATTTAAACACAAAATGATACATATACACATGAAGTTGTTGTTTTTTCTCTGAAGGAGTCTCTGTGCCTTACCCAGATAAAAACAGGCAAGCATTCAGCAGATGAAGTGTGTTTTCCATACTGTAACTCCACGTGGGGAAAGGCTGCGCCAGTTTAATTTCCCCCTGTACCCACCACTTGCTCAGTTATGATGGGAAACAGGACCAAAATGAATGTGATACGGAAGATCCAAAATCAGGATCTCCTATGGTGGGTTATGTGCTTATTTTCACGTCAAAGAGGCAACATTGGGCTGCTTACTTGAATGGGGGTAATGGCCCACGCAGACTCAGAAGCTAAGCATGGTTGGCCCTGGTTCATACTTGGATGGGAGACAGGAAGGAATTCCAGGGTTGCTGCACAGGGGAAGGCAATGTCAAACACACACACACCCCACCCGGTTATCCTCTTGCCTTGAAAACCCTATGGGGTCGCCATGAGTCTGCTGCGACTTGAGGGCACTTTACACACACCATGAAGGAAGGACTACTTTCCTCCTACACAGATCCTCTTATCTGCCAGTTGCCTTGAAGCCGCTATTAGATGCATGGAGAGAAAAAGATGGCTGCTATACCTGCTGCTTTCCCCCTCCAGTTAAGTTTATAGGACCTTTATTCATGTGATTTAGACCAGGAATACAATGTGGGAGGAAAGGGTCAAAGACCACCTCCCCCCAGTGCCATTTCCCCAATCAAATTAGCAGCCCCATCGGGCAGCTTTGAAGTAACAATCCCCCTCCCCCCAGTAGAGAGACTTCAGTCATGGATGTCATACCTAGTTTGATGCTGACTACTGCAGCATTCTAATCCTAAACACATTACAAGCAATGAAGTCCCACTGATTTCAGCTGAGCTCATTTCTGTGCAAGTGTCCTCAGAACTGTGGCCAGACACAGTTTAAAAGGTTATCTCTTTAAACTAGCAAGCCAGGTAGCAATGGCCTTAGATTATAGGACTTTGGGCGGAATCATAGCATAGTCGTGAATGTTCAAACAAAAGAAAACAAGGTGTGTGGGGAGAGCCACAAACTACCATGACTGAACATATAAGCCTCTTTTATTTAACATGTGTGTTCTCTCCCTCCTCTCTGAGGAGACTGGTTCAGGAAACTGGCATATATTCAGCCTGAAGCTGGAGGAACTTCCTCCAGTCTATGGAGGCTTCCTCTAATTTAAGTGGCTCTTCCATTGGAGGAAGAACAACTTAAATTGGAGGAAGACTCCTTAAGCTGGAAGGAGGCTTCAAACTTTGCTCAGTGGAATGGTAGGACAGCATTCCATTTTGTCTTCACAATAACTCTACGAGGTAAGCCAGGGCAGGAGATACTGACTTACCCGAGGCCATTCCTCTGAGATCCATGGCTGAGTATGGATTTGATCTCGGATCTCTCTCATCAATTTCCCAGAAACCCACAGATGTCTTTGGCACTTTCTGAAGCACAGATAGCTCAGAGGTTGGCCTCTACTGAGTCCTACAGCCCAGCATGGGCTCCATAGCTGACTAGCTCTTGTTGCTCCTCATCTTTGCCAGCCATCATGACTGCTAGACTGCTCAACCGTTTCCGACTAAGAATCATCCAATCTGCTTCCTCCAAGCATCTTGGGGGATTTTCCACTAGTAATTTAATGCCATACTATTGCTCATTAACAGTGGAGGGGAAACAACCCTGCTCAGCCACAAAGGTTACAGGGTGACCTTGGGCCAGCCATGATCTTTCAGGGTGTGAGCAGGGACATCTCATGGAAACAGCAGTGAGGTGGGAACTGAGCACACTGAGGAGGACACTGTCATGCCCAGTGCCCCCCCCCCTCAGAAAACCCAAAACCCTGTCGCCAGCACTCTTCTAGAGGCTGTTCAGTGAATTCTTATAAAATGACAGTATAAGGACCTGTCCCTAGCAGAGAAAGGTTTTACAAAAAAATCCAGTGTTGGTTTCTCTTTTCAGTCAATACACATAAGGGTGAACAGGACACAAAGAGAACTGTACCTCAAGGGGGGGGGGAAGGGGGGAGACAGGCAGCTTTGCTATTATTCACCCCTGTTACACATCAAAGGTTTCTAATGTGTCTCTTTTCTTACAAGCATCTCAGTCACTTTGAATTATGTATGTGTTTTTATTATTTGGAGAGATGCAAACCTGGCAGAATGATGGGTTTATATGGGGTGGGGGGCCATTGCAGTTCTAATAGCTGCCTTCACATCACAGATTGCTCAGGCCAAATATCTGGAAGTTCAGACAGGAAGAAATAGGAATGCATGGAAACAGTGGGTGAAGGGTGTTGGCTGTGACAAAGAAAAGCTTCTGACAGCTCATGCATCTCATACATTTCATACAAACCCTACGATTCTGCTCATGCATGTCCCACAAAGCCAGAGCTTCCGACACATACATAGTCATGGACTCATTGATAGCAGTCAGATAAGCCCCCCCCAACCACTTTGCATCAGAAAAAATATCTTCAATATGGGGGGTGGGAGCCAGAAGGTGATAAACAGCCTTAGATAATAAGATATACTCATTTAAGGATTTTAATGACCATAGAGCAGAACATTACTGTTGGTTAAACTTGCCAACATATACTCTATTGTGGGGTATGCTACCTGCAAGCAATGTTCCCTCTAAGCTGTGGAGTCTTGTGAGCAAAAATTCTACTTTGTGAGCCACTGGCATTAAAGTGGCGATTGAGCAATTTGGCTACTGCCTAAATTACTTTGCTCTGGAGCCATCCTTCCTGAGCTAAGACAAAAATGTGTGAGCTGGAGGCTAAAAAAAGTGAGCTAGCTCACACTAACTCAGCTTAGAGGGAACAATGCCTGCAAGTACTGACTTCTCTCCTTAAATACTCACATTTCAGGATCTTCTGTGGTCTGAAGTGGCTCCTTATTAGCCAAAGGCTGCCTTTTTCTACTACATGAGCTGCTTGCCATTTTAACAGAAGAGCAAGACGATAGTGCTGGACTCTTTTTCAAGCAATGGAAAAGCAGATGGACGGGTGGAATCCTTTCCTTCTCCTGGTATATTTTGATTGAGCTTGTTCAGTCCTCTTCAGAAAACAGATTATGGGTTAAGGCATGCACAAGAACTGGTCCGCCCACCAGAACTGTATGGAGTAAGAAATAATGAAGGTTTGCTCATGTGACTGTTCTGGCAACAAGCAGTCTGGGGGAAAGGCCTAAAGCACTTAGGGATAGATCTTTTGCAATATAAGTAGGCTGGATAATGACCTGGTGAACAGGGGTTTTTCCCTAATGGCTGACTTCTCCTTTCCCAAGGTTGGCTGTGTGCATACAGTTATGTTTTTAACGCAGCTGTTAAAAAATGCTTTCTTCTGCTTAGCCTGCAAGATGGACCCCTAACTTGACTTGGCTGATCTGGCCACCTGGATCCACACCATGGTAACATCATGACTAAGCTATTGTAATGCACTCTACGTAAGTCTCCCTCAGAGTCAACTTGGAGAGTTCAGTGGGTGCAGAATGCTGCCGCTTGGTTCTTATCGGAAGCCAGGCAGTGCATGCATGTTATTTCCATTCAGCAGTCAACGGGCTCAGTTCAAGGCATCAGTCAACAGGCTCAGTTCAAGGCATCAGTCAACGGGCTCAGTTCAAGGCATCAGCAATCATATACAAAGCCCTTCATAGCCTCTGACCTAGATATCTGCAGAACTACCTCTCCCCTTTGCACAGCTTCGCTCATCTGAACAGGCCTTTCTGCCGATGGTGGTGGAGGAGGAAAAGTGTCATCAAGTCACAGCCAAACTGTGATGACCCCATAGGGTTTTCAAGGCAAGGGACCTCCAGAGGTGGTTTACCACTGCCTGCCTCTGCATAGAAACCCTGGAATTCCTTGGTGTTTTCCCATCCAAATACTAGACAAGACCGATCGTACTTTGCTTCTGAGATCTGAGGAGATTGGGCTAGCCTGGGCTATCCAGTTCAGGGTTTTCTGCTGGTGCCACCCTGCAAATGGGCAAAATCAACAACTGCCCATACTCATGCATTCCCTGTTGTGGTCCCCAGCTAATGGAATGGTCCCACTCTCCTGGCATTCTACAAATGATGCAAAACTGGAAGGCACTTGCACACAGGTAATAAGGCTGTACTATAACTGAAAGGTTCAGAAAGCTGCTTTAAAAGAAGGGAAACAGCTGACTTTACTGAAATTAGTCCCTTTGGTGCTTGCTTTGCTGGATGCCAGTCTCATTTCTATTCTTGCAGAAAGATTACATGAGCATGCCAGCGCTTTGCAGAGGCACTGAATTCTTCGTTCTACCTTGTTTTTCAAGATTGCATGATATATTGAGAGACTATGCGTATGGAAAAGCAAAAAAAAAAATTATTCTGAGACTAGAGAGAGTGTTCCCTCTTCCTGACCTGTTCTTTTGCAACCTGCAAGGGATTAAGCCAGGGGTCATTTCCTAGAAAAAGAGGTGCAGGAGCTCATTAGCATAACTCATTAGCATACCTTATGTATTGACCTACACTGTGTAATATGCCTTGAGTCTCTGTGAGAAACGTGGACTATAAATAACATTCAAAATTTTTTTTTCAAAGCAACCTCTGTTCTGCAGTTGCTAGACCAACAGCTGACTTTACTGAAATTAGTCCCTTTGGTGCTTGCTTTGCTGGATGCCAGTCTCATTTCTATTCTTGCAGAAAGATTACATGAGCATGCCAGCGCTTTGCAGAGGCACTGAATTCTTCGTTCTACCTTGTTTTTCAAGATTGCATGATATATTGAGAGACTATGCGTATGGAAAAGCAAAAAACCTCTGTTCTGCAGTTGCTAGACCAACAGCTGACTTTACTGAAATTAGTCCCTTTGGTGCTTGCTTTGCTGGATGCCAGTCTCATTTCTATTCTTGCAGAAAGATTACATGAGCATGCCAGTGCTTTGCAGAGGCACTGAGTTCTTTGTTCTACCTTGTTTTTCAAGAGTGCATGATATATTGAGAGACTATGCGTATGGAAAACCAAAAAAAATTATTTTGAGACTAGAGAGAGTGTTCCCTCTTCCTGATCTGTTCTTTTGCAACCTGCAAGGGATGAAGCACTGTGCCTCCCCCCCCCTTTTGCCATCAAGCTGACTTTCGGCAAGCCCAGGGGTTTTCAAGGCAAGAGACATTCAGAAGTGGTTTGCCATTGCCTGGGTCTGCATCGTGACTCTGATATTCCTTGGAGGTCTCCCATCCAAATACTAGCCAGAGTGGATTCTGCTTGGCTTCCAAGGTGTGATGAGAGCAGGCTAGCCTGGGCTATCCAGGTCAGGGTTCCCTGTCCATAAGAAGACATTTCCCCCTTTGGACCTGCAAAGGACTATCCATGCCTTCTCCCATCTTAATGCTGTTGACAATAAAGAGAGATGCATGCTGGTGATCTTTGCAGAATGCGGGTTCATGGCTTTTACACCCAGGGGTTTCGTGATCAAAAGCACTGTATATGGATTGAAACAGTGAGCAGGAGAGAATGCGTCTGGTTGACTTCTGTCCCCTGGTAAACTGTATAGTTATCTTTCATTGCTGCAACAATGTAAAGTCTTCAAAGCCAACATCTGTTCTACAATTGGTAGTTCAGTAGTTGCTTCTGCTGACTCTGCTGGGTTCATTACTACTGTCTGAGTAGCCAGTCCCCATCTGGGCCTGGAGTTCTCCTGGACTATGGGATCATTTCCTCTGGAGAAAATGGCAGCTTTGGAGGGAGGTATCACGTCCCTGCTGAGCTCTCTCTCCTTCCCAAACTCCACCCTCAAATCTCCATGAATTTCCCAACCTGGAGCTGGCAACCCTAGCTGCTAGTAATGTCAGTGGAACTTCTTGGCACTTTACAAGCTCAAGCAACTGGTTGGAGGACCCTTTGAGGTGCCACTGTATTCAGATCTGGGGTTTCCTTTCCGAATCCAAAGCAAGCAAGAATTAATCAACGCTTTATCTACATCTACACAAAACAAGCTTGTCTGAGGTTTCCCTTCCCTGACTTCTAATATTGTGCAGTGAAACAAGTAACTCTCCACACACCAAATTCATACAGAAAGGTTCCATCTGGTCTCTCAGGTCTTTAAGGTGCCATAAGACTCTGCATGTTTGTGGCAGACATAACACAAGTTTTGATACAATTAATTCCCAGCAGCTTTTCTAGAACCACAGATATACCGAAGAAGGGCCAGCAGCTCAGCACAGAAGCCCAATTGCTATGAAAGCAATGTTGAGAAGTAAGAATGTACCTTCTGTTGTGCTGGTTTGGCTTTCAAAGGGCATTACAGATTTGTTTTGGGAAAAGACAAGATGCCATCAGTGACTTGTTGTAAACAATAAAGCTTTACAGTCTGCCACAATTCTGGGACATGTTTAACATTGCATGATTCATTTATACTGACTGGTACATGTTAGATTCACTGGTATGGTATAGCCAGGAATCTTTATTAGGCAGCAGAGTGCATGAGGCTTACACACAGCAGCAGCTTCTTGGAACTGTGTGTCTGCTAATAAAGTTACAGAGTCACATGGAGCCACTTGTCAGTTTCAAACTATTTGGAGTCCTTTATTAAGGAGCTACATTCTAGATAGCATAGGTTGAGAGATAGGGTTAGAATCTAATCTAACTAGTTATGATGGATGCAGATGTAGAATCCATGTCTTGCATCCATGGAGCCAAATATGGAGAGCATGGTCCTTCTTTGAGTGTGTGAGAGAGATGTGTTAAGCAGGAAGGAAGTCTCATCCCAAGAATAGCATTCTACTTCAAAGCAGGGGTTGTTTCGTTGAAAAAGAGCTAGGGGAACTCATTAGGTCATTTTGTAGAAAAAGAGCTAGGGGAACTCATTAGCATAACTCATTAGCATATGCCACACCCCCTGACATCAGGGGCCTTGCAGGCAGGGGTGGGGAGAGGCAGGGAGGAAGCAACTTACCCTCCCTCTTCTCCTGCCTCCTCCTGGCTGAATGAGGGCCGGAAGCGGGGTGGCCAGAAGCAGGGGGCGGGGCTTCGTCATGTGTCCCGCCCCCGTACCTCACCCGGGGAAACTGCGATCCCCCGTGATCCCCCCCGAAATGACCTCTGCTTCAAAGGGATCATATCCAACAGCAGAAAGGAAAGGATGCTCTGTTCTGACCCTCTGTCTATCTAAATCTATGGTTCTGTCTCTGAAGTCTGAGGCAGGGGACAGTGTACACTCTTCCAACTGTACAGGGGAAATGCTTGGGGACAGAAAATTAGCCTCTGCAGTGATATAAGAATCCTATGTCCCTCTTCAGCCCTAGGGGATCCATTGTCCTGAACTTGTGAATTAACTCAAATTCAGCAATCTCACATTGTAATTTCCCCTTGAATTTTTTTTTTTGGTTTGAGGACTGCCACTCTTAGATCAACAGTGGAATGACCTGGAAGATTAAAATGTTCTCCCATTGATTTTTTGAGTGTCGTGGTTTTTAATGTCAGATTTAATGTCAGATTCTTTTGTATAGAGACTGACCTGTTTATCCAGTGTAGACAATGGAAGGGCATTGCTGACGTTTGATGGCATGTATGAAATTAGAAAATGAACAAGTGAATGAACTTGAGATGGTATGGCTGGCATTGTTATGTTATTGTTAGGTCCACAGCTAGTCCAGAGAAGCGGCGGAGTGAGTTAAAAAGTTAGTTAAGTTCACAAGTTCAAAACAGTGGAACCGCCCCCCCAGGGCTGAATGTGGACATAGGATTCTTATCTCGCTAATTTTCTGCCCCCAAGCATTCCCTCTGCTCTAATCAATCTGATTACAAAGTTTGAGACCAGTGGCACCTTTAAGACCAACAAAGTTTAATTCTGGGTATAAGCTTTTGTGTGCATACACACTTCATCAGTTACATTTGAAACAGTTTTCCTCAAGCCTTACATATTGGTAGAGAGAAGTGTGTGTGTGTGTGGGGGGGTAGTTGCCAAGAAGGTCTTTAACATTAGAGTTAAGATGCATAAGTTACTAGGTGATAAGTATAGCTGAGATTGGATTAAAGCAGTTGGTAAGACCTGT